AAATGGAGGTAAGACACTGCTTCTTCTTCTTCTTCTTCTTCTCTCACCCATGGCATCCACTGCGCTTGGCTGTCTTTTTCGCTTTATACCTGTTGCCTGGTTGTCTTGGGTATACATATGCTTCAGCTTCTGAAACCGGGTGTGCTTAATTATTTGAATTGATGATACCCCTCTGTGAATGTGCGCATGTGCTGTAAATCTGCAGACCGATGTGGATTGCACTGTAAATAACTAATAACACCAAACTCCCCAGTCTTTTCCTGTCAATGCCAATATACTTTATCAGCTCCAAATATCCTTGCTGAAATTTTTCTTCCCCTCTTTTCTTCTTTTATTTATTCTTTTATTATTCTTTTATTATTTATTATTAATTTTTATATATTTCTTCTTCTTTGATGTCATTTTATCAACATCTCAGATCAGTTTCTGTCATGTGTTTCTTTTGTTATATTGCTCACACTCTCTCACTACCTTCCACTTTTTGAGTGTGGTTGGTATTTTTCTGCTCCTAACAATTCCTCTGCTGCTCCTATGTTATCATCAATAGCCATTTGAAAACTATGTCCGTTGAGGATAGCAGTGAAGAGTGAAGAGTGAAGAATGAAGAATGAAGAGTGAAGGGGGCTAGAAAATACTCTGAATCAGCTATCAAAATTACTTTTGCGCTGACCCTGAGGATCCATATGTGGTATCAGCAAATGCTATTTTTACTCCCCCAGAACCAAAAGTGATTTTGAAAGCATAGCATCGCGAGCTCTGATAGCATGTTTACTGGTTCCCCTTGATTCTACTGCTTTCTACTGTCTCAATGGGCTCCCTCCGCATTTAAAATCAGGAAGCATTTTGCAGTCGTCATGTCACATATTCCTCACTCCCATTACCCCCTTATTGCCCCAGGACAGGAGCGATTAGTCTATTCTGACAGCTCGATTTTGCATGGCAGCCCTCCTATTTTCAAAACCAGAGCACAGCTAAGCCTCGAGGAAAACCTACAGGGTTCGAGTCACTTCCATCCTCCTCAGGCGCAGTCGCAGGCGCAGTCGCTGCAGGCCAGGCCTGGACAGATTTCCAGCAACATTCGTGACACAAAGCCACGGCTGCTACTAATGGGGCTGCGTCGGTGAGTGTGCTGCTGGATTCTCTAAATTTAGTTATGTGATGATTATCTTGATACTAAATCACCGTATAAGAAGCGGCAAATCTTCCATATCGAGCGTTGTATTTCATAAAATGCCCGCAACGGAAACTCTATTTCTCGAATCGACGACTCGCATCCAAAAGGATTCGATACAGTCAGTTGTTTTCCATACTCTTTCATTGGTTGGTTAAGCCGTGGTTCCTAACCTTCACAGCTCTTTTATGGACTTCCAAATCTGGGATTTCCCCGGCCAATTGGAATATCTGGAACCGTCTTTCGATCTAGAAGATATCTTCGGCAATCTAGGAGCTCTAGTCTGGGTCATCGATGCCCAAGACGACTATCTAGAGGCTGTCTCGCGCCTAAATCGAACCATCCTCCTCGTCCAACAATACTATCCTCACATCAACATCGAAGTATTCATCCACAAGGTGGACGGTCTGTCCGAAGAATACCGCTCTGACACCTTCCAAGATATCGTCCAACTCATCTCAGACGAGCTTAGCGATGCTGGCTACGAGAATGCGCCGGTACACTACTACCTCACGTCAATATACGACTACTCCGTTTTCGAAGCCTTCAGCAAAGTGATTCAGAAACTCATCCCGCAACTCTCTACCCTTGAAAACCTCATCAATATTCTCTCCAACAATTCTGGCATGGAGAAGACGTACTTGTTCGACGTGTTGAGCAAGATATACATCGCATCGGACACCAGGCCTGTCGACATGGCCTGCTACGAAATGTGCTCGGACTACATCGATGTCATCGTTGATGTGAGCGAGCTCTATTCGTGGGAGCATCCCGATCGCAAGCCTAAGGGTCCTCAGATCTCAGAGGCGGAAAGTCATGTGATCTTGCACGATAAGAGCATGATACATCTTATGGAGATGAACAAGTACGTATCTGATATATTATATTTTAAAAGGGGGGGAAGCAGTGCTAATTGTGTTTCCCGTGCTAGATACCTATGTCTCGTCTCTGTGATCAAAAATGCAGATGCAAAGGAGAAAAGAGGCCTGATTGACATGAACTGTCGGACTTTCCAGACTGCGTTGAATGAAGTGTTTTCTAGAAATTGGGAGAATGAGTCATGAGATATTTTCGACTCCCCCCTTGAAGACAGACGAATGAAGAATATATCTAGAGAATGAATACAAAAAGAAACCTGGGCAAAGCGAACTCTTCTTACAGCATTTGTTATTTTACTGAGAAATAGAGACGTCGTTATAAAGGTCGTTACAATCGTTGGCTCTCTTCCGTCTAAGCTCCGCTGCTATGCCTATTATCTCTTTCCTTTTCCCCTTCTACGGGCTTTCTTTACGTGTATACGGGCAGCAACGGTGTTCGTATATTCGTTTCGTACAATACGCTGTTATGATTCTTATTATGGTTCAGGTTTTTGTTGAGTTACAAATTTGTTCTCAACACATCAAAGGGAACCTCAAATTTGTACTATACACATTTTTAACTGTCTACCAATATTAGATACAAGATACGAGGTTGGATAGTATGTAGCCATGCAAAGATGTCCATTTCGGTAACCCGTTGTCTGCGGGCTGGATTTATACCCCCTGACACATACCCCTATACACATCTCGCCGCCAAAGGGATCCATCATCCCCTATGTATATCGTAAACAGCACATTAACCGGGAAATAATAAACATTCCCGTTCACCGCTGCTCAAGCCCCGTGTCTGGAATTGGAACCCCCATTCCTCTCCGTCCTTTTGCGGCGAGCGAAACGCAGGCAAAGGAGTACGTTTGGGGGTCGTCCGTGATCGCTCATGGATTAAGTGGGGAGGCCAACCAACAATAGAATAGGTGGTAGAGTACATGAGTGTAGGGGAAGAGAATGATATTCTAACACTAGATGAGAACACTTATTGCTTTTTGCATTCGTTCTGATCTGGATTGATTCAAAAAGAATGTTGCGTTTACACTGCAAAAGTATGGACGATCTTGATAGTTATTTAGTTAGGGATGACGGCTCGATGACGAAACTAAGTTGTTAACCAGCTTCAGTTTCTCAGCTGCAAATGTTTGTTCTTTTCGTATGACTACAACGCTGCAGACACGGCAACACCTCTGCCAATATATCAGGCTAAATCTACAAACAGAGCGTATTTACAAGTTGATGCCATAGAGCACCTATCAATACTAATCCGGAGCTTTACGAATTGCTACAAACGAAGACACAGCATCGCTCGAGAAGATCGGACGCAATGCCCGCGCTCCGGCAACGGCCTGGAAAAGCTGCCCCCCAATCAAAAAGGAGAAGTTCGGGTGCAGGAGATGGTGCTCACGAATCCTTTTCCGGCTCGTCTGGGAAGGGCAAAAACGCCTCTTCTAGCTCAGATGGCGGGATGGAAGTGACAGAAGCAGTAGTGGTCGAGGTGGTCAACCCAAAGAGAGAAAAATCCGATAGAATGCGAGCCATCTCCATCCTGGATATCTTCCGTCTCATTTTCTTGCTCCTACTCACCTCCTCCGCGCTATCTTACTTCATTACCTCTGATTCATTTTTCTGGGGTTATAGACCCTGGTTTACGCGCTGGCCTGTCGTGAAGCGCTATATCGTATGGAAACCCAATATTTGCACACTCCCTTACTTCCAATTTTGTTTCCTTTAGTAAATTTACGATTTGTTCAATATAGCATGGCCCTATAAACCTCACCCCAGTCCAACTAGCCCTGTACAATGGCTCTGACCCCACCCTTCCTATCTACGTTGCCATAAACGGCACAATCTTCGACGTCTCCGCGAACCCACGCATCTACGGTGCCGGTGGCGGCTACAACTCCCTTGCCGGGGTCGACGCGACCCGTGCCTTCGCCACGGGTTGCTTCAAGGAGGACCGCACCCCGGACCTTCGTGGCGTGGAGCTGATGTTCATCCCCATCGATGACGACGACGGGAATCCGGCCGAGCAGGCGATGAGTGGCGCTGAGAAGAAGATTCGGCGAGAGAAGGAGTTGAGGGCTGCGCGGGAGATGGTGAGGAAGCAGGTGTCGCATTGGAAGGAGTTTTTTGAGAATCATAAGGATTATTTTGAGGTGGGGAGGGTGCTAGGAGGTCCTGGGGTGGAGGGGAAGGGGTTGGAGAAAAGAGAGTTGTGCGAGCAGGCGCAGAAGAGGAGGCCCAAGCGGTCAGTTCTGAATGAGAATGCAGCTGGAGGAGATGGCTCGTGATTGATTGAGGGTGCGTGGTGTGATGGAATTAATTCATTTCTTTGTTATATATATGCTTAGGTAACTACTGTATCCTGATGGCGTTGGGGATGTATTAAGTTAGGGCTTCGGTCATTCAGAGGACTCCTGTCCTACGAACAAAACGGGCTATAAAGCAAAAGCCTCATTTTCATCGTTGAATGAGGCCATTTTTCTACTTCCTGTTCATTAGGTATTTGAGCGCATGTCTATTTAACAGTTGTCACACTTAATCCTTGTCGCAATAGGAGGTAAATCTCCTTGCTGTGGGAATTTGGAGGGAAAGTGTATGTAGACACCGCGCATGAAAATCAATCTGACCGGAAATGCTGATGGGTTCCGTTAACAAGGGTATCTCTTCTAAAGTTATGCAACTTTAATTTTGCTCACAGAGGTAGGAAAGCAGGAAAAAACATGCTTCTTAACCACAATAGAGAGCTCGACCAGTTAGGCCTTGGTTTTGGATTCTTGCTTCCACCGTGTAGCTATTTTGTTCGATATTTATATCCATACACTCATGACAAAAATATGGAAGGGAAAAAAGGGAGAGAACACAGAAAACTCGAGAACAGGAAATCAATAAGACCGCATTGACAAGCACAAAACCCGGGGAAGAAAACAACGAAAACGGAGGACGGTTCGGAAATCCATTTACTCTGCAGCTGTAACAGCGCGGGCTACATTGCAACACACGAATTTGTTAGAACCTAATTGCGGAAAATAAAGAACACATTCAAAATATATGTGCGATCGTCTCTCTTTCCCATCAACTCAACCGAAAAAAGAAGAATCAACAAAAAAGTACAGAATTCCACGTACTGTAGATGTTCATCTTCGAGTGTCCGACGACCTTCTTAATCTGTCCCTTCTCCTCCAGGTCGCTGAGGGCCTTGCGTGCCAAACTGCCGTTGATCTTCAACCTATCAACGAGCGTGGCGACAGTGATGAGACGGTAGGACTGCACATCCTTGTAGAGCTTCTCGGAAGTGGCCTTATCAAGAACAACGGCGTGGTTGGCCTTGTCCTTGACTGTTTGATGGAAATGATACTGTATTAGCCAATCTTTCTATCGTTTCGCCGTAGTGAACATCAATGTTCAATTTTATGCCAAAAATAAACGTCTCCAAGCAAAGAAGGAATGTCTGAGCCATATCCCCTCTCCCCGACATGGACATTGACTTCCTCCTGTTGGAGCTTCTCGGGGTTTCCGTACCTTTGCCCTTGGACCACTTCTTCTTCTGCTTCTTGCCGCCGGAGGATGCTGCGGGTGCCTATGAACGCCGTAATTAACCTATCAGCATATTGTTCTCCCAGAGTATCCCCCTTCCAAATCACTCCATTGATCAGTCATTAGGGAGCTTGGGGGGAAACTGTTCACTAACCATAGTGGGTGGAGTGTGCGGTGGTTGTCGACGACGAGGTATTGAACAGCAATCGAAAAGAAGTTTGATGTCGCTGAGTCTCAGCCCAAAGGTGCGAAAATGGCAAGTGGACTATGACTAAGCCCGAGATTAGCCCTAAACCCTCGTTTGGCCTATTTGAGCTAATGTTCTAAGAGGAAAGAGGACTGATATCAACCTTGTTGCATTGTGGGACTCTTAGCGAGCTAGCTAGCTACAATTATATGTGCACGTGACTTAGGGTAACTGGGGTATCCTCTGTTGTGCAGTGTGCTAGTCCATAATAGGAAGCCTAGGCTCCAACACCTCTTCCCAGACTAGCTACTGTCCTGCTCAAATCAATCATATTATAAGGGGTTGAACCCCTAGATTTGCTCTGGCTGGCTGACTCAGCCTAGCCATTGTTTGCATGTGCGCACGTGATCATGCTACGCGAGCTTGCTTAAGCTTGAGTTCTCATCTCATTCTTTTCTTCCCTTTCTCAAGCAATTTGTCCTTGTTATATAGGAGGACTAGCCTCTAGTTCTTAGAGCTTAACCCTTTACACATATTCATCTTCTTTGTCAATCTATCTTGTCTTTCACTTGCTGTATTCATCAAATTCTTTTCTTATTTCATTCATAATCTGACTGACTTTTCAAAAGTTCTTCAATATTTAAAGAAATTATTGCAAATAATACTAGAGTTAATTAACTTATAAATAGATATTTTATATTTTTATCTTACTTTTATCTTTATTTTTATTTTTATTTTTATTTTTATTTTTTAAATCTCAATGTATTTTTTATTATATTTCTGTCATTCAGTGCTTGTGAGATTTAAATTCTTAAATCAATAATATTTGATAATATACTCTATATTCTCACAGTAATAATATTAATATTTATTGAATTATTTAGTAATATTATTCATAGCAGATGAATTAAAATATGTTATAGTAATAATAATATGAATAATTAACTGATTTATTAATTTATTAAAATTTAAATTTTAAATAGAACTTTATTTAATAATATAGAAATTATTCAATTTTATTTTAATAAATTTTTATTATTAGTCTTTCAGTTTTAATATAAATAGATTATGATAAATACTCTTAATTTAATTTTTATCTAAAAATACAAGTTTTATCTTTAAATCTTAAAAAAATTATATGATAAATGTGAAAATTATTATTTTTAAACTATAAATC